CGTATGGAGCTCTTCCTATTCCTCACAACAGTGTTGCAAAACTTCCACCTAAAATCCCTCCAAGAGAGGGAGGAAATAGACATTTCAGCGGATGTGCGAGGCAGTTCAAAGCTTCCCGGCCTTATAATCTTTGCGTGGTTCCCCGGTAAATGGTCCCTGCTGCATGAGCGCTGAGATATTTGGGGGATTCAGGTGCCTCTTCTATGTCTCTCTCTCTGATTGGGAGATAATATTTACACAATGAAGGTTCGTGGCTGGGAAACTGCTTTGAAAATCACTGTGACTAAAGTGTGTTATGTGTAGAACTCAATATAAAAGGAGTCTGCCCTGCTTGCGCTTCTTCTGTTCTTGATTTTTCTCATGGTAGAAAAAGAAAAGAGTATTAAAGCAACAAATAGGTGAGGTGGCTCACTCAATATTTTATACTGTGGGAGAAATGCAGAATGTCTTAAGAGGAGAATTTAAGATCTTTAAAAGAAGATATATGTGAGTACACAGACACATTGGAAGAAGTGCCTGGGATATGCAGGGTTGTGCATGCTTCAGTTTAGTCTAAACACCTTCTCTCTGTCTCTGAATGGAAGATAACCACAGTACATACCTTGGCTGTGAGTCCTGGAAGACCTGCTCGCTGCCTTGCAGGATTTTCTACACCTTGCTTGGGAGGGCAAGGCCCTGACTGACTCCAGCTCCAAGAGCTGTGGTTGCTGAGGAGGCCAGAGGCCATCTTTAGTGCAGAACCAGGCCATTAAGTCTGAGCCTGAGCTTCCACCAGCCACGAACCACCCCATAAAATGCAGTAATCTAACCTAGAAGTCAACAGATCATAGGCAGCAGAAGTCGGCTGAAGCCTTGTTTTTCTGCAATGGGTGGAGATGGAATTAAAATTGGGGTCTCACCCTGACACAGGGCTCGTCCACGCTTCTGTTTCCCATGTTTTCTAGGCATGGGTCTGAGAGGTTTTTAGTTTCCCTCACGGCTTTCCCTGGGAAAACCCCCTGCTTACTGCTGTATCATAACAAACATCAACCAGGTTTTCTGCATTGCATCATTGCATTTTTCAACAAAGACTTTGCTGAAGGAACATAGGAAGGCAACAGGGAAAACCCAGAGGAATTTGCTGGGTTTAGATGTCACCGCTGATGAATTACTATTTTCCCAGTCAAACGATCAAGTTAGCAGAATAAACATGGAAGCACACTGTTTGTTGAAAACCCAGCCGTTGTAAGTTGGGTGGGGTGAGAAGGTACATAAGGAAAGTCCTCAGAAGCTAACCCTGGACATATGTCCTTTTAATTGCTTCCAGCCCACCATCTACTGCTCCCTTCCCGAATTCCACACACCCCTCCCCTTCATGTCCTTTTTGCTGCTTTCGCTCATTCCACACATTCATTTCACTTATTCATATTTATTTAGGATTCCATACCCAGCAGAACCATCCCTGTTTGGCAGGAGGAACCTACAGTTGCTTTCATCCAACATCATAGCCTGTAAATGAGCCCCAAAGTTCTTGCAGAAGTGGGGCAGGGGAACCTCGGGAGAAATCCATGGCCATCAGACCGTGCCATCCATCGCCCCCACTTTCTGTTTGGCCTTTCATCACTTGTCAGGGGGTGCGGGGAGATAGGCGCTTTCTCTCTCTCTTGACTTTCAGGTGTAGCAGGCTGCCCAGAAGAGGCCAACTGGGAGGGCCTGGGGAAGGTTTCTGGGGCGGTTCTTCTTCCAAGCAGAAACAGCAAGAGGAGGAGAATGCCCACGGACCAGAAGACCCCCAGCCAAGTCCTCATCCCTCCCCCCCTCTCTCTGTGTACCAAAGCCAGGCTCCTTGTTCCTGACTTCTCTGCACCCAGAAGGAGGAAGAGGAAGTGAAAAGCAGACAAGTGGTTTGCTATAGTCACTGCTGGCGATGATTCCAACACATCCTGAAATACTTTCCAGGCCAGGATCAAGGTTTGTTACGGAATAAAAACAAACCTCTGTGTACAACCACAAATCAGAACTTGGGTGGGGTCTCCAAACATTTACAATTATTACGAAGCTGTTCAATTAAAAAAAAATCTAGAAATTGCAGTTGAAAACAAACAAAAGTGGATCAAATTTGAGGATGAGGCAAACAATGGTGCAGGAAGATTTGGAATTTTCACAAAGAATGTAATCAAAGATTTGAAATCTGCAATAGGCCCCAGGAAATTGGCATTAGGTATATGGAGGAAATGGCAACCTTTATGGTTAAAAAGGATTTCTCTAAGTGCACCCTTAGAAAGCATTTGTGAGGTAATAGATGATCCCAAATGGTGGAAAATTCTAAACACTAAGGGATATCTTATAGTTAAAGATACGCATAGAGGAGAGTCCTTAAAGTCATTTCAGGAAGTAATATAGAACATAGGTAACCAATATTGGTTAAAAATTGGAGGACTATACAACAAAATTTCCAAAGTCTAAGAGATAGGAAATATGAGTTTAGAAGAGCCAATAGAGGAACTATACAAACAAATGGAAAAAAAACGAAACAAGGAATGATAGGTAAAATCTATAAGAGAATGATTACAAATAAGAAACAGACAACCCAACTTATTCCAAAGATGTAGAGTAAGGAAGAACAAGTTAGTGAATCAACGGTCGAAAGGATAATGAAAGGAATAGATGAGATTAAAGTAAGCAAATTTAGAGAGCTGGAATTCTAATTCTTTCTAAAATGGTAGCAGAACTCCGGCCCAGCTAGCTAATATGGTAGCAGGATTGAATTCTAACTGTTGGCACTGTAAACAAAAAGCATTAGTTTTAAGAGTTGTCTTAAATGTCAGAGCTCAGGTTTTTTTTTATTTTTTGGAAGGAGGTAAGAGGCGGTAGACAGATCCTCTGGATACTGGGGGAAGTTGAATTTCTCAGAAATTTCAGAGTGTAGGGTTGGCTCAGCTATGTCCAGACCAGCAGTGGGGCATCTCCAATTAGGCCTATCAGACTGTACCTTTTGGCCCCTGAAGCCCTTTTGGCCAAGCCACACATCACACCCTACCTTTGGCATCATGGATGATGTCAGGTGTGGGGCAGGTAGAGATGCGCCTGGGCTGAAAGGGGTTTTGCAGCACCTGAAGATAAATCCTTGTGCAAAGCGGTTTTGTTTTGGTTCTTACACTTAAAGAAAGAAGGAGAAAATAAAGAAATAAAGCCTCATGGCTGCTTGAACCAACAGCAAGTGTCTCTGTACCTTCCTGGCCACATTTCCTGAGTCAGAAGACTCCTGGGAATGATGCTCTTCCCTTTAAAGCCCAATACAGCCTAGGAACCTCGTACCTACGGGACCGTCTCTCCTGGTATGCCACACGAAGGACATTGCGGTTTGCAAATAACAACATCCTGGAGATCCTGGGCCTCGGGGAGAAAAGGCTGGCCTTGAATTTCAGTAAGACCCAGAAGCTCTGTGCCTGGTATGACCCCACAGGATGCACTCCTCTAGAGTCGCCTCTGCCCGCTGAACCCAGAGGCGCTGCTATTGCTGGGAACAGACTCAGCCTCCCCTATGCAGCAAAGGTCTGGCCAATGAACAGCCCAAATACATGAAACTATGTAGACTTTCTCCCCAAAATAATGTCACTGAATGAACTTTTCTTCACTCAGATCATTGCCCTGGGGCAATCGGGGGGGGGGGAATTAACCTCTCTAGTCATGAGGAGTGTCCTCTGTTGCTGATACCAATGTGGAGAGGACACCAAAGTGTGCTGGCAAAACTCATAATAGATAAGTTATGCAAACTGACCTTTCTCCCTGTTATTCTTAACACAGGCTCATTCGTGGAAAATAGTTAATCTTTAAATGAGTTCAGGCACTTTGGATTTATAGGCAGCGCTCGGGATGAACATCCACTTCTTTGCAGAGCCAAAGTACCAGGAGCAGCAAAGTCAAGAGGGCCGTCAGCTCCCAAATGGGCCTCTTTGGAGTGTTGCCCTTCTTGCTGGTCTCCTGCATCACCTTCTTGCTTATCCTAATCCGGAGGAGAGATGCCACAAAGGGCAAGCTGCCCCCAGGCCCCACCCCATTGCCTTTGCTGGGCAATTTGCTCCAGTTGGATGTTCGGAACATCGTAACATCTTTTCAGAAGGTCAGTGTGGGTCTCTGCTGCCAGCAGGGCTGGGGGCTGCTATGTGAAGGAGGTGTCCCAGTGCCTTTCGGAGTGGAAGAGGAGGAGCTACCCCTAGGCAGGATTTGTTACTGCAGAAAAAGAGGAATCTGTCTTGTACAGATTCAGACTATTGATCCATCTAGTCATGTTTTCTTCTGCTCTGCACTGTCCGGCAGTAGCTCTCCAGGGTTTTAGATGGCAGGGACTGGACCTGGGGCCTTCTGCATGCAAAGCATGTGGTCTTCCACTGAATCACACTGTGATTCAGTGAATCATCGCGTCTTTTCACACTGAATCATCGTGTCTTTTCAGAAGGTGAGTGTGGGTCTCTGCTGCGTAGTGTTGGGGGGAGACAAGGGGGCCATGGCCCAAGGCTCACAATTTTGAGGGGGTGCGAACCAGATGCCCCCATACAGGGATCCCCGTCCTGAGGTGTGATTGATTGATTGATTGATTGGTCTCTTGATTTATTACTGCAGAAAAAGAGGAAACTGCCTTATACAGATTCAGACTATTGATCCATCTAATCATGTTTTTTTCTGCTCTGCACTGTCCGGCAGTAGCTCTCCAGGGTTTAAGATGGCAGGGACTGGACCTGGGTCCTTCTGCATGCAAAAGGTAAAGGGACCCCTGACCGTTAGGTCCAGTCGTGGCCGACTCTGGGGTTACGGCACTCATCTCGCTTTATTGGCCGAGGGAGCCGGCGTACAGCTTCCGGGTCATGTAGCCAGCATGACTAAGCCGCTTCTGGAGAACCAGAGCAGCACACAGAAACGCCATTTACCTTCCCGCCAGAGCAGTACTTATTTATCTACTTGCACTTTGACGTGCTTTCGAACTGCTAGGTTGGCAGGAGCAGGGACCGAGCAACGGTAGCTCACCCCGTCACTGGGCTTTGAACCGCCGACCTTCCAGTTGGCAAGCCCTAGGCTCAGTGGCTTAGACCATAGCGCCACCCGCGTCTGCTTTGCTTAGGGGGTGGCTATATGTCAATGAGCATGCACCCTGATTTGATTGCAAGGCCTTCACACACCTTCCTGACAATGATTTGTTCATTCCACACTTTGCAGTGCTTTCCCCTGTTGCTTTCCAAACTGCAAAAAGGACCACTCTCTCTTTTTAAAGTGGATTTGTTGCTTTAATCCACTTCATTTGCACAGACCTAAAGTTCTGACTCCGTCCTCCATAATACTGAGATGCTGCAGGCATCTTGAGTTTCTAATCTTTCTAATCTCCCTTCCTCATTCATGGACAGGTAGGGAGAGTCCCATAGGGGCATGTAACTTTCTACCAGCATTGCCCAGAGAAATGCTTGTGCAATTCGAAATTCCCCTGAATTACAGGTTTTTATTCTTTCTGCTTGCACTTTTACCAAAAAAAATTGTCCATCTCTGTGAGGGGGAGGCTCCTTGGATTTATAGGCAGCGCTTGGGATGCCCATCCACTTCTTTGCAGAGCCAAAGTACCAGGAGCAGCAAAGTCAAGAGGGCCGTCAGCTCCCAAATGGGCCTCTTTGGAGTGTTGCCCTTCTTGCTGGTCTCCTGCATCACCTTCTTGCTTATCCTAATCCGGAGGAGAGATGCCACAAAGGGCAAACTGCCCCCGGGCCCCACCCCATTGCCTTTGGTGGGCAACTTGCTCCAGTTGAATATTTGGGACATCATTGCGTCTTTTCAGAAGGTCAGTGTGGGTCTCTGCTGCCAGCAGGGCTGGGGGCTGCTATGTGAAGGAGGTGTCCCAGTGCCTTTCGGAGTGGAAGAGGAGGATCTACCCCTAGGCAGGATTTGTTACTGCAGAAAAAGAGGAATCTGTCTTGTACAGATTCAGACTATTGATCCATCTAGTCATGTTTTCTTCTGCTCTGCACTGTCCGGCAGTAGCTCTCCAGGGCTTTAGATGGCAGGGACTGGACCTGGGTCCTTCTGCATGCAGAGCATGTGGTCTTCCACTGAATCACACTGTGCTGGTCCCAGGGGGGTTACCGTGCGGCGTGGTCTGAGTCCGGTCCTGGGTCGAGGGTCTGGAGGCTGTCTGTCAAGGGCGAAGCGGGGTCCAAGGCAAGGAGCTGGGCGTGGTCAGGAACTCCGGAAGAACAGGTCAGGGTGCTGACAGGAACAGGTTTCCAGCGATGTTGCTCCTGCAACCTGGGACTGGGCTGACTGGCCTTTATCTCCTCTGGGGCCTAGGGCCCACAGGCGACTCGCCTCTGCTGGCCTGGAGGCGAGCACTCCTCCTGAGAGAACTTCGTTCCCTCCGCCTCTCTGCCCTGAGCCTCTGCAGCTCAGGAGAGGCTGGAGGGTTACTGGACCTAGAGGCAACCTCACCTTCCCCTGACAGGGCTGGGAGAGGAGCACCTGCAGGCAATGGGTCCTCAATCACCTCCGGAGCCAGAGTGGATTCATCTGGTGTCTGCTCCTGAGGTGCGGGCCCTTCAGATTCAAGCCCCTGCCCCAGCTCAGCCGGCCCTGGAGGTGGGGACTCCTCACGCTGTTGCTTTCCATCCAAGTATCAGGTGTGTTCTTTGTCTCTTGGCAGTTCCAGGAGCAGTATGGCTCAGTCTTCACTGTCTACATGGGCTCCCGGCCAATTGTGGTGCTGTGCGGTTATGGAACCATAAAGGAAGCACTCATAGATAATGCAGAAGCATTTGGAGGGAGAGGACTGATGATGGGTATGGATGAAAGCATCAGGGATTATGGTAAGTGGCAGCTTGAAAATAGAGTGTTTGTAGCAGAAATGAATGCAACCGAAAGCTGGGATGGGATAAATTTATCTTGCAATATTAGAGGAAGGGCAATAGCTCAGTGTCAAGAGTACCTGCTCTGAATGCAGAATGTCCCAGCTACAGTCTCTGGCATTTACTTGAAACAATGGAGAGCAGGCGCCAGTCAGTATACTGGATGGACCACATGCCTGACTCGATAGAAGGCAGCTTTCTATGATCCCTGTCTTTTTCTTCTTATTTTTGAACATTATCCATGTAAACCCAATAATAAAATACGACTTCATGAGTCAAACATATAAAAAGTAAATCAAACCAAGCCCAGCCTGGGATTCTACATTCACAAGAAGCAACAATAAAGCAATTTATCTGGATATTAGCGATGAGATAACATACAAGTGGAGAGTACCACCATAATAAATGAGAAAACAAGAGGTGTGGTGCACTTGATGTACAAGATATACCAAAACATGAACCTATATCTGAAGCCACCAGAGGGAGAAGGAGCACTGTGATTCTATAATTTAATATAGCTCAGGACTACTTTTAGCCTGAAAATTGCATTCCACTATAGGAAACTTTTCAGTGATGTGCATGGCTGTGGTAAGTGGTGCTGGAGCCAAGGTGTGGGGGGAAAGAAGAGGAAAAGGTTTGCATGGCCTTTCCTTCCTTCCTTCCTTCCTTCCTTCCTTCCTTCCTTCCTTCCTTCCTTCCTTCCTTCCTTCCTTCCTCCCTTTCACCTTCTTTCTGCCACACACACTTCATCCTTCCATCTGTTATCAGTATTATCTGAGCTAGATGGACTAAGTGGTCTGACTCAGTAGAAGGCATTTCTGCATGGCAGGGGGTTGGACTAGAAGTTCATGGGGATCCCTTCCAACTCTATCAATCTAAGGCAGCTTTCCTATCTTCCTTTACTAGGGATGTGGGAGAAATTTGACTCAATTTTCTCACTTTCAAATATTCTCACTTTCCCCCGTTTCACTCCTAGGAATGGCACGGTCAACCAATTTGGCTTTTCTAGACTTCTCATTTTTCCACTTCTCCACATTTTCACACCACTTTTCTTTAAAAACAGCAACAAACTTTTCCAAAATTCTTTAGTGTTTTAGTTCCGATTTCTCCTAGTAAGCACATTTTTGTGTGCTGTTGTGACTAATGTACACATTTTATCTTTGCAAGCAAATTCCCCCAATACAATGCAAATATATTTTATATTTTTCACATATATATTTTAATGTCTCCTTTCCACTGTTCTTATAAATATTGACTGGAGAACCGCACTGCAAAATTTGGACAAGTGCAAATCTAGAAGTGTGGCTGTGTTTTAGTTCTCCTACTGTTTTGCAAAGTATAAATGAGTGTGAATTAAATGTGAACCAAATCTAAGTTTATGCCGTCCTATTTAATGTAAGTAAGATGCTTCTTCTCTCTCCCTTCACAGCTGCCTCTTCCTCCCTGCCCTCATTCTCACCTTCTCTCTCTCCATCTTCCATTTCTTTCTTGTTGCCACTGGAAAGCCGAACCCTTGTTGGGATGGTTGGGAGGTCCCAAGAAGGAGAGCCATAGGCCTGGTGGTTGGTTCCTGCAGTCCAGAGGCCTGCCACCCCTGAGCTGATTCAAGGCGGTGAAATTATGCCGAAAGTCTGCTTCCCGTCAGCTCATGCCAACTGTCCCTCCATCTTTCTGTGCGGTGACTTCCATGCCAGGGCTTCCTCTATAACTACTGCAATGCAGGGGTTTAGACTAGAGGACCCCTGGGGTCCCTTCCATGTCTACAATACTGTGATTCTATCCCTCTTCATCTTAGAGAAACCAGAAAAACATTGCTTTTTCCAGTGTTCTCTGTGTGGCCCCTTCCGTCTTCTTTTGGACCTGACTTGTAGTGAAGAAAATGTCCCCCCTGGAACATATGGCTGCCCCTGTGAGAACGGGATTGTTAAACTAGAGGGAGGTTCTGTGTGCCATTGTTTTCCATGTAGCACCTCCATCTTTTCTCCCCGTCTTCTGCCTTTTCTGTGGCGTTTTTCTCCATTTCCAGGCGTGGTTTCCACCAACGGGGAACGGTGGAGGCAGCTGCGTCGCTTCTCCCTCACCACCCTGAGGAACTTTGGGATGGGGAAGAGATCCATCGAGGAGCGGATCCAGGAAGAGGCCCAGTTCCTGGTGGAAGCCCTGAGGAAAACGGAAGGTGAACGTTTCCCCTCAGAAGGGGCGCTGTGTTCTTTTTGACATTGTCGTAGCAGGAGGCGAGGAAAACGATGTTGTAACTGAGGAACGGCTGCTCATCCTGCCAAAACACCCGCCGTGCTTTCCTCACAACTAGAGGAACTGGCATTCACAACTTTTTGCAATTTGGTCTCTGGTTCCTCTGCCTCTTCTAAATCCAGCTCGATCCACATACTGCTTAAGCCTGCCTTGTAGAATTTTAAGCATAACCTTGCTAGCGTGTGAAATGAGTGCAATTGTGCGGTAGTTGGAGCATTCTTTGGTACTGCCCTTCTTTGGGATTGGGATGTAGACTGATCTTCTCCAATCTTCTGGCCACTGCTGAGTTTTCCAAATTTGCTGGCATATTGAATGTAGCACCTTAACAGCATCATTGTTTAAAATTTTAAATAGTTCAGCTGGAATATCATCTCTTCCACTGGCCTTGTTGTTAGCAGTGCTTTCTAAGGCCCATTTGACTTCACTCTCCAGGATGTCTGGCTCAAGGTCAGCAACCACACTACCTGGGGTGTACGAGACATCCATATCTTTCTGGTATAATTCCTCTGTGTTTACTCCATGGACAAAAGCAACAGGCATATAAAAGTGTCCATTAGGTATATTCTTTCTCCTGAGGAAGGCAGCCCTGCTTAGGGAAATTTTTAATGTTGGATGTTTTATTATGTTTTTAATATTTTTTTGGGAACTGCCAGAGTGGCTGGAGAAACCCAGCCAGATGGGTGGGGTATAAGTAAATTATTACTATTACTATTACTATTACTATTACTATTACTATTACTATTACTACTCCTCTAAACCACAGGATGCATCCTGGCATCTTAGGTGATGTTGTCCCCATTTTCCACCTCCGCAGGGCACCCATTTGACCCAACCTTCTACCTCAGCCATGCCGTCTCCAATGTTATCTGCTCTGTGGTTTTTGGCCAGCGGTTTGAATATGAAGACAAACAGTTTGTCTTTTTACTTGATGTGATCAACAAATCCTTCCGGCTCATGTTTTCCACAGCGTCGCAGGTAATGGGGGCACCTGCTCACCTGAGACAGAGAATGCACCCATAGCCTCCCGTAACCTGGTTATTTCATGCCCTCCACTTTTTTCATTTTCTTAAAAAATGGCTTATTTTTATTTTGGTGTGGGTTGGGAGGGCATAGTACAGGGCCTGGGCATTAAGGGGTCCAGAGCATGGGGTGCAAGACAATGAGGAAGCTTAGACAGTTACGTCTATTATTTTTCTTCAAAGATGAAGAATTTTTTCCCGGGCCTGATGCGGATCCTGCCTGGGCCTCACCAAGAAGTGCCCAAGTACATGAAGAAGTTAATAAACTTCATCTCTCAGAGGGTCCAGATCCACCGGGAATCCTTCGATCCAAATTGCCCCCGGGACTTCATTGACTGTTTCCTGGCCAAAATGGAGCAGGTACTTGTTGGGGGAAACCGTGTGTCTCCCAGTTATTGGACGTTGACCTTCTCACCAGTCTTTGTTCTGACATAAAGGCCTCATCCAGACTTCCTTTCGTGCTGCATTTCTAGGCACAGGTCCACACTTGAAAGCACCGTATCTAAATGCTCCCCCCCTTTTCTTTTTGGTCCCATGATTTCTCCATTACAATCTACTCTTTGCCAATGAATCGGAGCAAACAGCAATCCATGGAAAAACCCAAATTGCCATTTGTTCTGGTCCAGCATCAGGGGCGGAGCAAGGGGGTGCGGTGGGTGTGGACCGCCCTGGGTGTCACCACTGAGGGGGGTGACAAAATGCTGGGCGGCACTCACCATGGGCCCTGCAGTGCGCCCAAGCCACGCATTTCTCCTGGGAGAGACACGGTGCCTTGGGCGCCTGCAGGTTCTGCGCTGCCCAAACGGTCCGTCCGCTGCCTCCCCCACAGCTGTAGGGCGGCTGAGTGGGAGGAGGCAGGCAGACTCCAGAGGCCCCGCGGTGTGCCCTGCCCCTATGGGCGGCTCGCCCCGCCCCTGGGCACACCGCCCCAGGCGCCTGAGTGGCTTCCTCCACCAATGTCCAGCACTGAAAAGTGGGTTTTCCTGGGGAAAGTGGCAGGGCTAACAAACAATCAAAAAGTGGTTGGCCCTGGAGCTTCAAAGCACAGACCTCTGCCTAGAAGGCATGGGGCAAAAGGTAAGTTTGGAAGACCCCCAAGTGTGGCTTCCTTCATGCAAGGGCCATGGGATGAGAAAGAGCCCAGAAAGTGAGATGTCTGTGGGACTTACACTGTGCTTTCTCCACTCAAGAATGATGTACACACAAACAGGAAGCATACAAGGATGATGTCCAAAAAAGAACATCTCTTTCCCTAAAAGATGGGTTCTTAATTTACACAATTTGCCCAATACGGTTTGGTCAAAAATGCCTTTGTCAACGGCTTATCCAAAAAGATAATAATATAATATTTATTAAACTACAGTGGTACCTCGGGTTAAGAACTTAATTTGTTCTGGAGGTCCGTTCTTAACCTGAAACTGTTCTTAACCTGAGCTTAACTTTAGCTAATGGGGCCTCCCGCTGCTGCTGCGCGATTTCTGTTCTCATCCTGAAGCAAAGTTCTTAACCCGAAGGACTATTTCTGGGTTAGGGGAGTCTGTAACCTGAAGCCTCTGTAACCTGAGGGACCCCTGACCATTAGGTCCAGTCGTGGCTGACTCTGGGGTTGCAGTGCTCATCTCGCATTATTCGCTGAGGGAGCCGGCGTACAGCTTCCGGGTCATGTGGCCAACATGACTAAGCTGCTTCTGGCAAACCAGAGCAGCACACGGAAACGCCATTAACCTTCCTGCCAGAGCACTTTGACGTGCTTTTGAACTGCTAGGTTGGCAGGAGCAGGGACTGAGCAATGGTAGCTCACCCCGTCACAGGGATTCGAACCGCCAACCTTCTGATCGACAAGTCCTAGGCTCTGTGGTTTAACCCACAGCGCCACCTGCGTCCCACAATCTCAAAAGTATCTGCTGTCAAAATAAATTGACAGGGCAAAATCTCGTAGGAGGACCACCTCAACCGGTACACTTCAATATTTTTTGTCAAGTACAGATGTCTTCATTTTCATTAACTCCTATCCAGTCAATCTCATTCAGGGAATGTATAAACCAAAATATTTTTATATAATAGAGGTTGATAATATACAGCACAGTTGATCTTTCATAATTGATCTAAATATACGGAAAGCAAATCCTGCTGGCCATACACCAGCCTTCCATAAAATCTTTGTGCAGGCATGCTGATTGGCTCCTGGTTGTATAACTTGCTCCCTTCTTCCCTCCTCTTCTTTCTCCCTGTGTCAGGAGAAAGAGAACCCAACTTCGGAATTCCATAATGAGAACTTGGCTGTTACGGTTCTTAACCTGTTCTTTGCAGGAACAGAGACAGTCAGCACCACCCTCAGATACAGACTTCTCATCCTCCTCCGATACCCAGAGATAGAAGGTGAAAAAACAAGACCAAATCTTCCTCACTCAGTCTTGTTGCCCGTCTTTTGGGCTGCCTTATGGGTTCCTTCCTTGCCAAATAAACCAGGACTCCCTTTTAGCTCTAGCCTATGAAAGTTCCACTGGGACAAAACCCGAACTTTAGCCTGCCCAGGTCCTTTCTTTGATCACCCTGGGGCCAGAACATCTATGGCAAGCACTCCTACTGTTCTAGGGTTCACACTGGAACAGTGGTGGTTTGAAGTGAAATTGCTACTGGGAATAATCTGGAGTAGTTTTAGACCATTCCTAGCAGCTTCTTGAGATGATGGGGCAGGTTGTTGGCTTTTGCATGACTGGAAGGTAGCCAACTGTCCAGTGTTAAGAGTCACACCTGTTGCTCCATCCACTTTTGGCTTTGGTTCTACCCACCATTGTCATGTGGTCCCTGAAAGGTTCTACACAAAAGACTACGGTCCCTGCTTTCCAAAAGGTCTTCCTTACCCCCAGTCTAGCCCCTTCTTATCTGCTTTGAGTGGCAGCAGCACCCAGGCTCTCAGGTGGAGAATGTTTTTTTCTATCAGTTTCTACATTAATCCTTTAATTGGAGATGCCAGAAACAGACCCTTCTGTATGCAAAGCATGAACTCCATTTTGATTTTTCTTTCTACACTGCTCTGATATATATCAGAATTGGAGAATAGCTTGTACCAAAGGCATCAGGGAACTTTGAAGAAGCACAAACTCAGGATGAAAGGGAGATACGTTTGGCAAATCCTCACCATGATCAACTTGCCCCCAGAAACCTATGTCCCTAATGTGGAAGGATGTGTGGATCCAGAATTGGCCTCCACAGTCACTTATGGACACACTGTTAAGACCATATTCATGGAAGACAATCTTAATCAGCCAAGAGTGATCGCCAAGGAAAGAAAGGCTATCAAAAACCTTTCCTCCTCCTATAAATGCATATATCTAACCACCTCCCACCGCCTGGGTACCACAGTTTATAGTTTTAACCCTTCTCTCTTCTTTCCAGCTAAGGTCCAAGAGGAGATTGACCGGGTCATTGGGAGGAACCGCAGCCCCTCCTTAGAGGACCGGAGTCAGATGCCCTTCACGGATGCTGTCATTCATGAGATCCAGCGCTTTATAGACGTCTCCCCACTGGCACCTCCTCATTCGGTGACCTGTGACACACATTTCCGGGGCTTCAGCATTCCCAAGGTGCGGTGAGCCATGTGACCAACAGAAGCATTAGTGACAGGTCCAAAATCCTACCTGCAGGTGTACAGATGGAGCTGTGCACATGTGTGTTTGCACACACACATCCCTGTGCAAGAGTAGGAAGCTGCAGTGGCCTAGATGGTTGTGCTTCCACTTTCCAACATTTACAGGAAGCAGAAGGAGATGTGCGTCTGTGTAGTGCAGCAAACTCGAGGACTAATCAGTGAGGCAGGATACCTGTGGTTCAAATCCCGCCTAATGGACAGAAAAACAGTTCCTCATCACTGTGGAAGGACTTTAGTATGGCAGCAAACTCAGTCACACACAACATCCTGTTATAATTGTGCTGTCTTACCTTAAATAACCTGAGCCATCTCCACTCCTGCAGTTGAGGAGGTTTGAACTAACTACGTTTCTTATTCAAAACAAAAAAAAATTCCTTCCAGTAGCACCTTAAAGACCAACTAAGTTAGTTCTTGGTATGAGCTTTCGTGTGCATGCACACTTAATGCAGAAAGTTCAAGAGGTTTAAGGTGTAGGTGGGTCTGGCACAGGGCGAAAGGCCAAATGCAGGATAAAGAGGAAACAGAAGGCCCTGAACTGAATCAGTTGCAGTAATAATAATAATAATAATAATAATAATAATAATAATAATAATAATAATTTCGTATTTCTACTCCACCCATATGGCTGGGTTTCCACTCTGGGCCGCTTTCAACAGAACATTAAAAACATTTAAAACCTTCAAATTCCATGCCGCCTTTGGTAGAGGCTACTCTCCATTTCTGATATATTTTATATATCAGCAACCGTTGCTTTTGGGGTCTCTGTCTTTCCTCTCCAGGGAACCACAGTAGTGCCATTCCTGTCGTCCTGCCTGCATGACCCCCAGCACTTTCAGACACCGAGGAAGTTCAATCCTCAGCACTTCCTGGATGAAAGAGGGTCCTTCAGGAAGAATGAGGCCTCCCTCCCATTTTCAACAGGTATTGCACATCAGCTTCATGGTAGGGAGAAAGGCATGGGAGGGCAGGCTCGGCTAAACCTTAGAAGGAATTAAGGATGGGAAGGAGGAAAGAAAGAGTGAGAAGGGCAAGGATGTTGGGTTAATTAATAGGAAAATAAGTCTTGGATTGAGCATTGTGTTAGTGTAGCGGGAATCTTTGCCAATAAAGCAGACACAGGTTCTTCCGAGGAAAGCCTTTGCCGCAGCAGGCTTTTCATGGGATCTTTTCCCAAAAGCAAAAAGCCCCAACTCCAACCAGAGCTGGGTATTTATAGTATTGAACAAACAACTTGTCACGTGACATAATAGATGTGCATAATATATGTGCATGTCCAAAGCAAGTTTATAAACTGCTACATAAGCAAAAGCTGAAGTCCCAGGAATCCAACCCCCACCGGTACATGATTGTCAACCCTGCTGTAAATAACTCTTGGGTGCGGGGGGGGGGGGGAGAATTCTCAGGCAGATTCTGTCTGCTCACAAAGAACCTGTGGGATAGCCATGGACCACTTGGGCAGGTAAATCCCACTGTGTTCTGTTACATGGATAGTATGCATGTTGGGGACCCGGATTACATGTAGCCATTTGCACCATGTCCCAGCTGTGAGCTAAATCTTTGTGATTCACCCATTAGCTGTATTCTTGCCCCAATGGGGCAGCCTGCAAAATCATCAGTTTCATAAGGCAACAGATTACCATAACTCCTCTATTAGAAACACACTCAAGGAGTTACAGGAATACACATTATGATATTTATTGTGGCCCTCTGGGCCACCACCATATTTGGAGGAATAATGTTTTAAAATTAATATTACTATTAATTGTCAGGCCAGTGCAGAGCTTGTCTGTGGCCCGGGGCAGGGGTCCTTGGTCATCTGGGAGTAACAGGGTGTTCCTGGCAAAGCAACATAAGTCTGGCGGGGCCCCCTGGCCAGCTTATCATTTGGAAGCCCAGGGCAAGTATCCCCAGCTGCCCCTCCCACCCTTTGCACGGGCCTGCATGTGGAGGAGCGGAGACGCAACTCCGGTTCACCAGATTACAAGTCTACCACTCTTAGCCACTATACCACACTGGCTCTCTCACTGGCTTACTATCAAATTTGTATACTGCCCTTCCCCCGAAGATCATAGGGCAGTTCACAACATAAAAAATACAAAATGAAAACACAAAATACATAATAAAATCCTATTTTTTGTTTCTCCAGGGAAAAGGGTCTGCCTTGGCGAAGGTTTGGCCCGTATGGAGCTCTTCCTATTCCTCACAACGGTGTTGCAAAACTGCCACCTAAAATCTCTCCAGGAGAGGGAGGAAATAGACATTTCAGCGGATGTGCGAGGCAGTTCAAAACTTCCCCCGCCTTATAATCTTTGCATGGTTCCCCGGTAAATGGTCCCTGCTGCATGAGCGCTGAGATATTTGGGGGATGCCTCTTCTATCTCTCTGATTGGGAGATAATATTAACACAATGAAGGTTTGTGGCTGAAAAACTGCTTTGAAAATCACTGTGACTAAAGTGTGTTATGTGTAGATCTCAATATAAAAGGAGTCTGCCCTGCTTGCGCTTCTTCTGTTCTTGATTTTTCTCATGGTAGAAAAAGAAAAGAGAAGAAAGCAACAAATAGGAGAAATGCAGAATGAGAATGAGAAGAGGAGAATTTAAGATCTTTAAAGAAGATATATGTGAGTACACAGACACATTGGAGGAAGTGCCTGGGATATGCAGGGTTGTGTATGCGTCAGTTTAGTCTAAACACCTTCTCTCTGTCTCTGAATGGATGATAACACAGTAGATACTGTTAAGTTGTGGGTGAACATATCAGACGACACAGCGATTCTTCAAACAGCTCTTGTTTATTCACAGGCCAGAACAGAACTGAACTGAAGGGTTCAGCCAGCCTGCTTATATAGAGCTCCAGTACAACGCAACTGTAACAACGTTCTGTAACTATCCAATCACTGAACGTCATTTTCAATCCCTTATTTGCATTTGTGGACCTGAGTGAAAACTATCTACAGTATTCCCCTGCTGGCCCAGGGTGAGAACATCAGTACATAACACATGCCTGCAAGTCCTGGAAGACCTGCTCGCTGCCTTGCAGGATTTCCCCCACCTCCTTGGGAGGGTAAGGCCCTGACTGACTCCAGCTCCAAGAGATGCGGCTGCTGAGGAGGCCAGAGGCCATCTTTAGTGCAGATCCAGGTCATCAAGCCTGAGCCTGAGCTTCCACAACTGCCACCAGCCACAAACCACCCCATAAAATGCAGTAATCTAACCTAGAAGTTAACAGAGCATAGGCAGCAGAAATCAGCTGAAGCCTTGCTTTTCTGCAGTGGGTGGAGATGGAATGAAAATTGGGGTCACACCCTGACACAGGGCTCGTCCACACTTCTGTTTTCCCATGTTTTCTAGGCATGGGTCTGAGAGATTTTTTGTTTCCCTCACAGCTTTCCCTGGGAAAACCCCCTGCTTACTGCTGTATCATAACAAACATCAACCAGGTTTTCTGCATTGCATCCATTGCATTTTTCAACAAAGACTTTGCTGAAAAAGCACAGGAAGGCAACAGGGAAAACCCAGAGGAATTTGCTGGGTTTAGATGTCACCGCTGATGAATTACTATTTTCTCAGTCAAAGTTAGCAGTATAAACATTGAAGCAGAATGTTTGTTGAAAACCTAGCCGTTGTAAGTTGGGTGGGGTGAGAAGGTACATAAGGAAAGCCCTCAGAAGCTAACCCTGGACGTATCTCCTTTTATTTTTATTTATTTTTTATTTCCAAAACCGAAAAAAGAAAAATTGCAAACATCAAATTCAACATCCATATTCATTTTCTAATTTAAACCTATTACATAATTAACTAAATTAAAATATACCTAATCACTCTAAACTTGTCTTTGCTGTATACAAATACAACAGTTAGAAATTTTATATTAAAGCTTTTATATTATAAATAATATTTCAAATTCCCCTAATCCCCCGTTCCCATTCACAAAAGCACAAAGATTCACAAAATGTTTAGGGTACATGTACCCCTGCATATCACCAGAAAAACGCACTGCTCAGAAGCAAGCCTCATTGAGTTAAATTGAACTTTATTGCAACTTATTCAAAGGGAACATTAGCAAAGAAATAGTCCCACCCATTTACCTGGGAGTAAACCCTGTGGGAAATTGTGGGATTTAACTTCTGAGCCAAGGGTGCTTGGATACCAGACTGCAAGACTGTAATCTGACAGGCTAACAATTCCGGTTGCACCTCTGAAATCAGTATGTCTTTCTGTTGAGTAACCACCAGGCGTCCTCCCTTAGAAGAAAGACTTTAAAAAACCCATGATTCAAGCCTAAACTCCACAACCAGATTTTGCTTCCCTTAGGAGAACTTGCTTGTTTTATTCTGCATGGATTGCGGAAATGCTGGTGCTTTGTACACGACAGTGGGTCTTTTGGACGGGAACGCAATTCCTGTGCACCTTTTACTCAGAAGCAAGCCCATCAGCGCTCCTTGCCTCCCTCGTAAACGGGGCTTGGCAGCTGAGGTAGCCCCACAACCCAAAACACCTGCTCTATAAGGGCAGGGTTGCTCCAAGGATGGCAACGAGGCCAAGCGCACATGAAGCGCCTGGAAGACGCGTAATGATGCAGAAACAAGCCCCGTTGCAATCTAGGGACTTGGGTTGCTGCAGCATCCGACAGGAGGGTCTTACTCGAGAGTAAGTCCCGTTGGTGTCATTGGAGGCTGATGCAGAAATCATAGACAGAGCCATTCCACTAAATCATTTCCAGCTGCCGACACAGCAGAGCAAAGCGGTTCTCCCTTTCCTGCCTGATTTTGCCCCCTTCTTCATTCGCTACACCTGTGCAGGTGTGATAGGAGGAACGCGATTGGAGGAGAGGTGAGGGCGGGGTCGGAGTCCTCTGACGTCTCAAGGCTCCGTGTTTGCTATAAAAGGCTGTGCAGGGAGCAGAGTTCTCCATTTGCTTTGCGCGGGGGAGACTAGAGGGAGGGAGGATGTGCGGAATTGCGTTTGCTAGGTAACAAAACAGCTTGGTCGTCTAAGGCTTCTGAAAAGCAGAGAGGGATTAATTTAGCAAGGGACTCGTTTTGCAGCCTCTCTTTAACATAGAAGTTTCTGCTCTAGCCTTTGAGGCGGGTTTTTTTCCTCTTTGATAAACTTGTTTGAAAACACTTTTTGAAGGACTGCAGATAATTTTTTTTTAAGCTTTAAAAAAATCTGGGAGTGGGAAGCTTGAGCTTGAAATTTCCTATCAAAAAACATTAAGGGGTATTCCTTTAACAGAGGTAGCTACTTTAAAAGTGAGGTTTTACTTGAAATAAATCTCTAGGCGGTTTACAATATTGCAAAAATATCCCTGAAAATGGGGGAGGCGGGAGGCACAGTTTAAAACAAAGCTTTTTAATTAGCTAACCAGAAAGGAAGCTTTAAAAGCTGGAAACGAAAGCAGTTTGTGTTTTCCTCACCAAGAATCAACAGCAGTGCACCCAGCAAAGTGGTGCAATTTACAGAGGAAAGATTGTGTTCTTCTAGAACTAGGGAAAAAATTGATGCGCCTATAAGGTTATAGCTGATGGGTCAAAGGACCTTTCCAGTTGTGGTATATATGCAAGATAATAGGCTGTGAAGTTTGGCTCTCTTACACAAGAGTCAGAAAGTTTGTTGTCTGGAAGAGGCTGAAATCTGAAGAATGGCAACTTCTAGTGCAGAGTTTCTGAGACCCACTGGGCTTGCCTGAAAGAGCTGGAAGTTACTGAGGTCTACCAGTCCCCAAACAAAGTGGCAATAGACGGAGGTGGGGTTTGGCATAACCAGCTGGAAATCGCGAGTTCATACTGACCTCTAATCCAACTTCAGAAATAGCTGTAGTGTTTCTTGTGACTGAGTTCCATATATCAGCTTTTTTTCTAGCCAAGTAAGACATTTGCTCTAGGGCACTGGGTATTCTCACCATTTTAGGCAGTTTGCTAACCCAGAGGCTCCTGAATGGAGAAGGCTTTTTCTTTTACTGCCGCCACCTCCTTACTTGCAGCCAACAAGCCTTGTAAACATTTTGAAACAGTTTTATAACTACTAACATGATTGAAAAATGCAATACATTTGAAGCAATGCAATTTAAAAACCACATAATAACAATGCTGGACAGTATGTGTTATTACTCCAGGTCTCCAGAAAGTCAGGGAACAGAGGGGAAAATTTGTTGCATATGGCCATCCATATAACATCACATGTGATTGTGTGCTGGTCTCGGGGGGAGTTACTGTGCGCCGTGGTCTAAGTCCGGTCCTAGGTCGAGGGTAAGGAGGCTGTCCATCAGGGGCGAAGCGAGGTCCAAAGCAAGGAGTCGGGCGTGGTCAGGAACTCAGGAGAGCAGGTCAGGGTGCCGGCAGGAACAGGTTACCAACGATGTTGCTCCCGCAACCAGGGACTGGGCTGGCTGGCCTTTATCTCCTCTGAGGCATAGGGCGGCCCTGGTCCACAGGTGACTCGCCTCTCCTGGCCTGAAGGCGAGCACTCCCCCTGTGAGAATTTAGTTCCCTCCGCCTCTCTGCCCTGAGCCTCTGCAGCTCAGGAGAGGCTGGAGGGTTACCTGGACTCAGAGGCAAACTCACCTTCCCCTGACAGGGCTGAGAGGCGCACCTGCAGGCAATGGGTCCTCGGATCACCTCTGGAGCCAGAGCGGATTCAGCTGGTGTCTGCTCCTGAGGATCCGGCACAGGTGAGGGCCCTTCAGGTTCAAGCCCCAGCCCCGGCTCAGCCGGTCCTGGAGGCGGGGACTCCTGTGCAGGCTGGGATTCCTCAGGTTTAGCCTCTGAATCCGATTCCCAGGCCATCACAGATTGCCATAATATATGGCAGTGTATTAGAAGTTACGCAGGGGTATGCATACCCCTAAACATTTTGTGAATCTTCGTACTTTTGTCCATTTACTGTATTTTTCCAGATTTGAACTATGAAATAGTGAATTTCTTGAGTAAAAATGAGAGTGCCCCTAAACATTTTTTAAGAAAAAAAGCACTGGTTACCATCCACACACTTTCGCTGCGCAGATACTGTTGGTGTTTTGCAACTTAGACCTGCTGCAGGACCTTAGCCAGACCTTAGCAGAGCATACACAGAGTTCCTCAAAAGCAATCGGTTGCAGGCAGGATGGATGAAACAGGAACCAGGAACTTGTTACTTGTAGGTGTGTTTATTATTTACAGCTGACTTCAAGTTACTATGTACAAGAACAGATACACAGATCTTAACTACCGTATTTTTCCCTCTATGACACGCAGATTTTTTCTCCTAAAAAGGAAGGGGAAATGTCTGTGCGTGTTACGGAGCGAATGTGTGGTCCCTGGAGCCAAAAAATCAGACAAAAATCAAATCGCGAGTCACAGAGAAGGGAAACCTGAAAAGAGGAAGTGACTGCTTTCCTGCATTCTGCCTCAGGGTCTTACTGCCCACCCTCCTCTGTTTCCTTGCTGTGTTTGCTCAAACGGAACAAAGAGCAGGGAAAGCCCCTCCCCTCCAGGCAAGAAGAGGGGAAAGCAGAGTCGTT